CTTTTCGTCGTTTTCAGAATATTGACACTAACACTAATATTAATATTGCTACTAGAAATATTCTAGATATAAAAAAAAGTAAAAAGTGTCAAAATGTGTATCGAGTCAAGTACAGTTTTTTTTATTATATTATTTTTTATTATTATAAACATAGCAAAGGCAATATTTTGCAACAAAATTGAAGAATCTGTAGTAAATAAATTTAACTTACAGGTTCCTTCGTTTTAGGTTCTTTCTTTACTTCTTTAGGTTTATCCTTTTTCTCTTCTTTAGGTTTATCCTTCTTCTCATCTTTGGGTTTATCTTTCTTCTCTTCTTTGGGCTTCTTGTCTTTGGGCTTGGTCTCTCTCGGCTGGGTTGGTGCTACGTAAGCGGATCCGGTCTCTGTCTGGTACTGCGCTTTTAGTTCTAGAAGCTTCTTTACTTCTGCATCGATTGTAGCCTGAAAACACAATATAAGTTAAATATATTAAAACATAGTAGTATTATGAATATTTAGATGTATGGATGGATGTTTTAAGGTATCTCCAGAACGACTGAATCTATGAAATTTGGTATACATATAGAACATAGTCTGGAAGAACACATAGGCTACAAGCTAGAAGTTTTATACAAACGAATTGATAATAAGTTTGTTTAAACCCAAACGTATATAATTTACCTTATCAGCTTTGTTAGTTTTTAATTCTCTAACGCGGTCACCCTGACGTGCGATGTCCGCTGACAAAATGGCTGCCTTATCCATGTCTCCGTTGGCCGAAGCGGTTGTTTGCTAAGAAATATAAAATAAATATCAAGCAATTGAAAATGTCATTGCTATTTCTGGTTTTGTTAATTTACTGCACTCAGAGTTGTGGTCACTTTATTGTAGACTTATAATAATATGTTTTTTTTTACACTTAATTTTTTTTATTTATTTTGTTACTTTAATAAATATTACGTATGATTAAGATTTTCTTTTTTTTATGACAAAATAATGTGTGTTTATACCTTTTTATTATCAGTTTTCTTGGTATCTTGTTGCGGAGCGGCCGCGCTCGGTGCCCAATCTTTGCCAGTAATTGCTTTGTACTGCGCTTTTAGGTTCAGCAAATTTTTAACCTATAAGAAAAACGGTTAAAAATAATAGTAAAGAATTCACTGTAAAGTAGCCATGAGACTTAAAAAAGATAGCAAAGCGTATTATAAACAATTTCTAATATTTAAAAAAAAATTAGTAGCCTTCGCGCTAAGAATCAAATACAAAAAATAAGAAGTGGATTTGACAAAGAAGGGGACATCCTCGTCTCCTCGGCGGTCGTTTCGCTATTTCGGCGAAATCAAATGACCGTTTGCCCGTTTGTCATCTTGTAATATAAAAAGTATTTTACCTCTACGTCAATGACTGTCTTCTCGGCCTTAGCCGCTTTGAGTGTTCGTATCTTGTCACCCTGCGCTGTAATGGCAGCGGATACAGAATCTGTCTGTGAGTTATTCTGCGCAGGCGCAGGCGCAGGGCTCTGTTTGTTCTGAGCTGCTGGTTTCCAATCCTGATAGTAATACATAAATTGAAATCAATTGGTAATAAAAATAGAAACCTTACATTGAAATCGTAAGTACAGTGTAACTGGATAAGCGAGATATCCAGGGATCGCAATATTTTTCTCACTTACACAAGTTTATCGCTTATGGATGTCGTCCGTCGAGACCGGGCTATAACTCTCGTCCATAGAGAGTTTTTTTTGCTTATATAGTTTTCGCTAATTCAGGTTTGACTAGATTCACTATATTTTTTTCAATATCATTTTAAATTATTCAAACTTTCGTGAGACATTATACTAAACTTATATAAAAACGGCTAAACCGCTGGGAGCCGCGTCCGCGAAATAATACCAGTCCCACTCCTGATGAAGGCCCCCCCCCCCTCCGA